TTTTAAAATTTCCTGTTCAGGATCTCTCAATGGATAAATAAACGTTGATCTTTCTGTCTATCATCCATCCATCCATGATAAGTACAGTTTATGATTTCACATTTGCATCTCATGACATCATCCTTTTATAATTATTACATCACACCAACAATAACAATTGACGTCAGTCTCCATGTCAAATGAGAGCTTTAATTATACTCATCATCACCAGCAGATCAGCTACAATCACATCCTCTGCACGGGCTGGAATCCAAACGCAAACTCTCTGTCTCTCTCTCTCTCTCTCTCTCTATACTTATATATATATATATTTTTTCATCTATCTTTCACACACACACATTCAACCTCAGACTTGGTGGACAGTAACAGACTTGAACAATTGCTCAAACAAATATTAATAATCATGTTGATCTTTTCCCCTCAGTCTTCTCTCTAAATATTTATTAATGAGTAACCCCAGGCTGTGTGTTCTTCATTCTACTTCACACTTTCCCATGCAGAAACACACACACACACACACACACACACACACTTGCAGACAAACTCAAATCCCTCCACCCCTGTGGACAAACATCATCACACACACAGACATACACACACAGTAAACACGTGTCTGTGGATTAGGTGGACACATTCATAACAACAACACAGAACCAGAAGTAGGTTTTAATTAAACTCATGTCTGGTGTCCATACAGGCTTCCATAGGAGTAGAACACACGTGCACACACAGACACGTGCGTGTTTTCTCATCCTCAGTCCACACCGAGTGGAGACAAAAGGAAGTGGCTTTGCGGTATTTAAATCAGTTATGTCTAATTATTCCATGTAAAAATAGCTGATATCTGGGGCAAAAGCAGCGAGATGGAACACTGTTGTCTGCAGAGGGGAGACCTGGAGGAGGTGGTGAGGGGTTCAGCACCGCAGAGGACAGGGGAGGGGGAGAATGATAAAGAAGACACGGAGTGAGTGTGTGCTTTAGGCTACATAAATATAACATTAAGTTAATGCACCAGTGGCAGAGTGAGTGCAGCACAGTGGACCGGTGTTTAGAGGAAACCTGGAGGAGTGTGCGGACTAGACTGTGGCGTACGTATATATGTGTGTGTGTGTGTGTAAATTCACTAAACACATGCAGCCGTTCTGCAGGTCCACTCTGATGAATCCACCCTGCAGTCAGCTCTCAGCAGTGTGGGACACTGACTCTGAACTCAGCATCCACTGGATATGATGTTTGCTGAGGATACACACACACACACACACACTTTTTGTTTTTTTAGCTTTTTTTCTGGATGTAATTGGGGTTTACAAACTGATATACTGAGTACAAATATTTCCACTTGTGTACCTCTGTGTACTCCCTGATGAGGGCAGTGTTTTATAGCCAGGATGGTAAACATTGCACTGTCCCAACCGAGGGTGTGACCCCCCCCCCCCCTCCATTTGGTAACCAATAGGGATGTAACGATACACTCACGTGATCATTCACGATTTCTTGAGCTCCAGACAAACCGTGACCAAATCCACTGATCTCCTTTCTTTATCAGAACTGTGTAAAATCCCATCATCAACTGACGTTGTTTTGTTCAATAACAGAATAGAAAATAGTCACATTTCTTTCCAGAAACACTGCACATCACCTTTGATCTGCTCTGATTCAAAGTCAAACTGGTCTGCTCTGATTGACCTGGTTAACTTTTAATATATGAAAGAACAGAAGTGAAAAAAACAGGAACTGGAAAGAGTTCCTTTCTTTAAAGGAACACTGGAAGAAACTGTTGGTGTCTGAGGAACAAGTTCTTCCCACGTTTTGTTCCAACACCTGAATGTCTCTTAGCCTACGTAGGGACCTGACATCTGGGTTTAATAGCGGATCGCAACCAACATTATAGGTGCATACTGCCACCTACTGTACTGGAGTGTGTAGTGTCACGGCATGACCAGTGGGCTTTTTGAGATAACTCAGTCTACTCCTTACACCTTGATGTGTAACCGACCCACGATACACCGTTACATCACTAGTAACCAACAGTTTAAACTATATTTCTGTCTTAAATTATGTCCTGATTCCTGCAAGTGAACTAAACATCAACTAAAAGAACTGTCACTTCAGATTATAAATAAACATCCGTCCTAACAGCCAATTAAAACCTGCACAAACATTGTTTATACATTATGCCGATTCTTTTTTTTTTTTTTCTGGCAGCCATCTTTAAACCTAAGACTCAGCCGTAAAATAGCTGAGGTTAAATCAGAGTTTTTATTTGAACTCTGTGCTGGTAAAAGTAAACTCTGTAGATCTAATGATGTCAAAGTTGTAATGATGACACACACACCTCTACACACACACGTTTACACTCTTCTGACATCATGTTCATGGTGCCACACTCCAGGGTAAACCCTGCTGCTGCTGTAAAGGTATGAGATCTTTAAGCCAAATCCTCTCTCTTTTGGGGAGGGGTTGAAGAGGGGTGGTGGTTGTGTCCTGTAATTCTACATCTGCTCCCTCTTTACTCCATTCATGTCCTGTCTGTGTCAGGTCCCCACTGCCTGTCTGTTGGCGGACTTCAGTGTGTGTATAAGAAAGCCAAATCCGTGCCCAGATGACAGAGGGTGTAATCGGCAGCTCTGTGGTTCAACAGAACCTTTCAGAGCCGGGTCTTGTCCTTGACCCTTAAGGAGCTTGTAATGTGGCCCCCCCGCCCCCCATTCTTTGTGTCCGTCGGCAAAGATGAGGAGGGGGCTGCAGGGGCGGCCCACCACTGAGTGAAGTGGGGGGGGTTGCCTCTCTGTGCCAGCAGAGGCAGTCACACTGGGGGAGCCGCTCACACACACACACACACTGACAGTTCAAGACAACCTGACGTGCACACACCACATTGGTGTCCTGCATGGGGTTCAGAGGGGAGGGGGGTTGGGGGTGATGAAGGCTGGAGGGAGAGGGGAAAAAGGGTGGGATCCAAGGGGAGGGCAGAACCTGACCCCAGCAGGGGGTCAGTCTTAAAGGCTGCGCCGTCGATCCTTGAGAGGTCTGAGTTTTTTTTTTCTTCTTCTTCTTTTTCAGAGTGGGGGCTCAATCTGTGGAGGGCGGTGGTCCTGCTGGTCAGCACAGAGAGCTCCACGTTACCCAGTTATCCATGACAACCAGAAGACTGAGGGAGCGTGGAGGGAGGAGGGGGGGGGGCATGGAAAAGCTCAGCTGCGGTCAGAGCGCGCTCAGTTGGAGCAGAGAGTGAAGAACAAAGCAGCCAGTGATTTTCATTTTTTCTCTTTGTCTGCTTTATATTGTACACAGACACGTCCGTCTCTCCTCTACTGGAGAATAAAGGGACTTTGAAGACACACACACACAGACACACACACACACAGTGGCTGGCCAAATGTGTGCACACTCTTGTGTGGCTAATTGAATTATATTTGTACAGTAAGTCAAACACTTATTTTCACGGTTAAAGAGAAGGAAAGAAAAGAAAAGAAAAAAGAATAAATAAAAGCCCGGCTGTGTGGAGGCAGAAATCACTCCAGTAGAGAGCGCTGGAGGACACAGAGGCAGAATCACTGTGGCACTAAAGTCTCTATGCTCTCAATTAGACATAGAAGAGGTAGGAGGGGGGGTGGGGGGCAGCGGGGGTAAAGTGACTATAGCCTGCAGCCAGTGCCGTCATTGTCCGACCACAGAAGGTCTCCTTTAACATTAACGTCTTCCACACTGGCCCCAGTTTAATGTAAACACGGCTCTTATTTAACAGACAGCTCTGGTTCTTTGAAGTGTGCCGCTGAGTGAAGTACTGCCACATGGTCAGTACTGGGGACTGGAACCACTGCTGGAAACATGGAAGCACAGTTAATGCTGACAACATGGCTGCCAGCAGGAACACGGACCAAACTGTGGCCTTGAAACAGAAAATAAAACTCTGTAAAATCTACAACCAGTGGAGTCAACGTCACCTTCAGACGATTGTTATTGTTTCTGACCGACAACGCAACTTTCTGTTATTTTCCTAAACTGAACATCATGTTTGTGTTCTTTTCATTCATGATGTTCGATAATAGCAAAATTATGCAATATCTGTAAGAATCGTGGGTTTTTCCTCCGATAATGAAAACCCAGTAACGCAATGCCTGGAATGTGTGACCTAAAAATAGTTTTGGGGAAAACGGCTGTTTATGTAAGTGAAGCCCACTAGATGGCAGCATTGCAGCTCATGTCATTAATCAATATCAATAATCAGGGGATTGTATGGATTTGAATACTGGTACCAGCAACAGATAAACAAATAAATATTACCAGGCGTTCATCTCAGGTGCAGGGTATATATCGGTATTGGTTGAATTTGGAATCGGAAATTAAGTGTCTGAACAATATCAGCATATCGGGAATCGTCAATAAGTTAATATTAGCATCTCCAATAAATGAATTAAAAATCACAATTTTGTCTAACATTATTATTTGATGTTTTTTTAGGAATCCAGTTGTAGACCGGATGGGACGGTTTGGTGGACTGGTTTTGGTGTGCGGACCACCAGTTGATGATAACGGCCTTAGCTGAGGTGAGTGTGTTCGTCCTCATTTACTATGTATGTTCACAGAAAGGTCTGGGACAGACAAATACTTCAGAGAGAGTACACAGAGTACAGAGTTGTACTTCCACCCTCTCAGGTCAGTACCTCAGTGAGAGGAAGCCAACTGCCCCCCCTCTCCCCTCTCACCCACTCACTCACCCTCTTCCATGTTCCCACTTTAATCCAACCCACATTTTCATTCTGCCTCCGTCTCCACTCTCCGAATCCCCGGCGTAGTAGCGCCAACTCACCACAGCTTGGCGCTGTTGCCTTACTCTCCATCGCCTCCTCTCTCTCTCTTTCTCTCTCTCACTCACTCCCTCTTACTCCCTCCCTCTCCATCATCCCTCCCCTCACTCTCTCTCTCTCTCTCTCCTCTGCTTCTCTCTGCCTCAGCCAACCCGGGCTGTGCCGAGCTGCTCCCTGCGGGATCAGAGCGCTCCCCCGCCGGGACCCTTCTCTCACATCCCCCTGCTGGGACGCGGCTACATTTCCAGCCAAGCTCTGCCTGCCTTGGCTTTATTATGTGTGTCTGCGCCGCAGCCCCGCCAGCAGAGGCAGGCAGAGGAGGCGGAGGAGGAGGAGGGAGACTGGTAGCCAGAGTCAGGACAAAGAAAAAGCAGGGAGACAGAGGCGAGCGGAGGTTCTTACAGAGCAGAGTGGGAATTCTGGGATCATAGTTGGGAATATTTTGGTAGGGAGGGCTGTGGTTGCGCAAGGTATTTGGGGAAATATTAACTCTCTCTCCCTCTCTTACACACACACACATCTTCTCTCTCTCCCTCCCTCTCTCTCTCTCTCTCTCCCCCTCTCTCTCACACACACATACACATTAAGAAGGGTTGTCAGAGACGGTATTCCCACTCCGGGTGGAGATGCAGCAGCAGGGGGAGAGCGTAATGTCCATGCCACCGTCAGACCAACAACAGCACCACCACCACCTCTACCTCCACCTCTACCACCGCCTCCGCCGAGTGTAGACTAACGGGACGGAGCCGCGTACAGGGAGACTCGGAGAGGTGCCGCTGTCCAAAAGGGGAAAAGAGAAGAAGAAAAAAAACAATAAGAGACTGAAATAGTTTTTTTTTTAAACTGAAGAATTTCGGAGGAGAAGAAGCAGCAGGAGAGAAGCAGGGAGCGCAAGACACGAAGAGTTTTGACGCTGAAGCCAGAAATAATTTTACCGCTCCGTGCGCGCCGCGACTCCTCACCTGGACCTGATCACCACGCACTCCAACAACGTCTGTCACTTTTCACCTGCGGGACACTGTTTGCTCTCGTGTGCCTTCATTGTGCATCGCCCACCACCACCACCGCAGCAGCAGAAGCAGCAGCATCAGCCGCGGGGAGGATCGAAGCCCGAGCGGCGAGAGCGCACGGAGCCGTGCCGGAGGAGCGGAAAAGACGAGCGCGGCGTAAAGAGGGAGAAACACGGAGGGAAACGCGAGGATTTTCCCGGTGGAGACGGAGGACGGGCGACAACTGGAAGTTTGTTCCTACAGGTTGGGAAAAGGAGCCGAGCGTCTTCCACCGTGCAACAGCCGCAGCAGCAGCCGCTCACGCCGCTCCGCTTCCGGTGTGTGCTGTTGGTTTTCACCGGTCTTCAGCCGAAGCTGCCGCATTGCAACAGGCAGAGGATCGGCGGCGGCAGCCAGGAAGTGTTGGACCAGGAGGTGGGAACGACAGACCGGACTGCGTCCTGTCCGCATGTTGGACCGGAAACCCTGAGCGGAGCTGAGCCGTAGGGAGAGAAAAAAACAAACAAACATTTGAGAGGAGAGGAGTTGGAGAGGAGGCAGAGATGTCGAGGAGGAAGCAGGCCAAGCCGCGCTCCGTCAAAGGTAAGAAGAAGTGTTCCTGCTCCTGCCGCGAGTAAAGACAACAGGGAAAAACAAACAAACAAACAAACAAACACACCATGACAACCCAAAGATCTGAGCGTCAGTGACGTCAAAGGTTCGGTTTCAGTTCCATGTCGTAGCGAGTTTAAATGACCGGCAGCTGTGAGTGGTTTAGTCGGACAGAGAAGTCAATCAGTCAGAGTGACAACACAGAGATCTGACTGACTGACTGACTGACTGACTGTCTGACTGACTGACTGACTGACTGACTGACTGACTGACTGTCTGACTGACTGTCCAGAATGAGAGACATTTCACTTTAAAGACATAAACTAAACTGTCAGGACGGACGGACGGACGTGCTGGTGTTTGACCTGTAATCTGGATTATTCTGTGTTGGGATTTGATGAGAGTTAAAATACTTTTTCTGTTTTAAACATCATTAGAATTTGGACATTGTCTCTCAGTTAGTCTCAGTCGTGGTCAGAAGTCCCTGCATGTTTGAACTTGAATTCCTTGTCATTTGGATTATTCTCAATTAGGATTAAATTCGACTGTTTTAAGGCAAAACCAAGTTTTAAAAATTCAGAAAAAAAATCTCAATCTCTCAGTAATGTTTATAAATTAGTGGAGGTGATTTAAATAATCTGCTTTTTAACTTTGAGGACATGGATGAATCCCCTGACACTGTGGTCTTTTATAATCTGGATTATAAAAAAACAGATTATTAAGAAAATTGTATTGATTTTGTTGATTTGTTGACGTTAAATGTCTTCAACACATTTGTTTAAAGTGACCTGCTGTGTGGACAGGACAGAGAGGAGGACAAGACTGACATGAATGTCACCTGTAATCTGGATTATGTGAGACAGGATTCAGGGAAAACTAAATATGACACAGAATTTCAGTTTTCACTTTTACAAACACGAGAAACGATCCGTGGCGAACGATAGCGAATGTGTGATCTCCCTGTAATCTGGATTATCGTCTGTGCTAGAATATAATTTAATTTTTCATTTCAAGTTTCATGGTGTGTGAAGTAAATGAACTGGTCTGATTTACTGTGAGGACAGGACAGAGAGGAGGACAGGACAGGACTGCTGCACTTTCTTATGAATTATTTTACCTGGGATTCATTTCCTTTCAATCTGAGGACACGGAGAAGATCTGTGGGACTTTAGAGTTCAGTGTAATCTGGATTATTGCCCTTGATGGGATGTTGATTCGTAGTTACAGTGAGGAGAAGACGAGTTATTCTCTTTAATGTGACTCAGTTGGCTTTGATGTTGGACAGGAAGGAGGACAGAGGAGAGGACAAGCTGCTGTACTGGTGTCTCCACTCTGATGTGGATTACAGGGGAGACACCAGTACATGTTAGATATTTACATATATTCAATACATAATACTGGTAAAGTAGTATTTGTGTAGTATTTGCCAGTATTTCAGTTGATATTTATTTCAAGTCCAGTTGGTAAAATCTCGCTGTTTGACTTTTTCTAATCCTGGTACTAATCTGACTCAGTGACTGTCAACGAGTTAAACCTTCAGAACCAACCGTTTACTTCAACCTTTAGTTAAGGCACAGGTCTGTTCTAGAAATACTTTCATGGTACTGCACACATGGAGTAAAAGTACACACCTCATTTTCCTCTAATTCATAAACACATTCTTTTTTTTTCATCATCATCTAGGAGTAAAAGTGTTGAACTGTTTAAGAGGCTGTTACTGCCTACACATCTGGGCCGCAACCCACCACTTGAGAACCATTGATCTGGACAATGTCGAAGTAGATTGTAATTGGATTGGACTGGTCCATAAAAATAGAAAAGAACAGATTTTTTTTTATTATTGTAATAAAATAAAATAGTAAAAATGTATATTTGAATTAGATGAACTTCTCTCTGAAAGATGCTCAAATATATATAATAAAATTCAGGAATACCTAAAAACGTTGACATTTCCCTCAAACCCTAGATCAACAGACCACGCTGACCTCCAGTGGCCCACATTTGAGACCCACATTTCTCTTTTTTTAAACCACAATGAACAAAGATTTGGACGAGAAGTAAAAAAAAAAAAAATAAATAAAAAAAAGGATAATTAGCACCAGGTGAAGTTAAAGGTTGTTCAGAGAGAGAGAGAGAGTGTGTTCTCAAAGTACTTCACATATTTTTCTCATCAAGATTTTAAAATCGTCCACATCTTTTTTCTCAATTTTGAGTCACCACTCTTTCACATTTGATCAGTTAACACATCTGCACCTCCTCCTCCTCCTCCTCCTCTTCTTCTTTGGAACACAGAGACGTTCAGTACAGATGCCAGTCTGGACCTGACAGCTCTGTAACTGTTTACACTCTGGTCTGGTCTTCGTCACCGTTCTTCTTCTCTGGTGTTTCAGGTCACGTGACATCAACACTCCCTCATTTCTCTCTCCTCCTCCTCTCACCGTCATGTTTCTCTGTGTGACATGAAGAACAGTTCATGACCGTGCACTGGTCAGGAGGCATGAGGTCATGTGTCGGCCTTGACCATGTCCATCCTCCTCACCCTCCTCCTCCTCCAGCAGCATCAGAGGAGCTCAGTTCTCCTCCTGTGACTCAGGTTCACAGCTGCTCCTCCACTGAACACCAGGTGTTGAACTAAAGCATATGTTTGAGATCGTTAGAGGTGATCAAGTACGTTTAGTGACATTTCATATGAAGTTTCTCAAATAGTGGGTCGTGACCCAAAAGTGTTGTTTTAATTGGGACAAAAAACAACAAAAAAACATAGTTGTCATAGTTAAAATACCAACATATTTATTGAATCAAGACTCATCACAACAACAGTTAAAAGTTAAAAATGAATTTTAATCAGTTTACAACCTAATAAGGATGTTGTTGTTGTTGTTGTTGTTGTTGTTGTTGTTGTTGTTGTTGTTGTTGTTGTTGTTGTTGTTGTTGTTGTTGTTGTTGTTGTTGTTGTTGTTGTTGTTGTTGTTGTTGTTGTTGTTGTTGTTGTTGTTGTTGTTGTTGTTGTTGTTGTTGTTGTTGTTGTTGTTGTTGTTGTTGTTGTTGTTGTTGTTGTTGTTGTTGTGGTTTCTCAGTTATTTTTTGGTGAATTCCAGCTTTCATTTGTTTTAAGGAAAAAGACCAGTTCCATGTGTGAAACGTTGTTGGTGGGAGTTTATTTTCTCGTCAGTAAATCTCTAACTTTGATGTGGAGTTGATTCATACGGAGACGGTCGTCGTCTCCTGTTCCCGTGACGCTGCCTCGTCGTCGCAGGAGATAAAAGATTGACACATGTCCTGCACCAACCTCTCCGTTAGGACGCACATCATTGGTGGAGGTCTGCATCACGCCGGTGTGTGTGTGTGTGTGTGTGTTGCCCGTGTGTGTGTCAGACTTCAGCAGCCTGCATAACGAGAGCTTAGCTTTAGTCAGGCAGCCAAGTGAAGCAGAGCGAAGCAAAGCTGAGGCAGACGACCACCACCATGAGTTTGTAAGTGTGTGTTTGTTTGTACGTACGTGTGTGTGTGTGTGTGTGTGTCAAAGGTAGCGCGGCCCTTTGCGCTCCAGCTCGAGTGTTTTGTCTCTGTGCACTCATGCATCTGTGTGTGCGTGTCGACGCGTGTTGCTATCTGCCCTCCACACCTTGCCCCCTTTGACGGCTTGGCAAGATGCATCGTTGGGGGGGAGTGAGGGGGGGTGAGAGTGGATGGGGGAGATGAAGAGTTTTTTTTGGAGTGGGGGGGGCAAGATGGAAGCACTGTGGCACTCAGCGGGCGAGTGGGCAGAGGGGGAGGGAGGGAGGGAGGGAGAGAAGGTGGGAGGGAGGGAGGCCAGGATGAGGTGAGCGTCGCCGTGGGGATTATCTGTGTTTTCATGTTCCTCCGTCTCTCACCTGCTCAGCCGTCTATGACTGGTTGGCCCGGCTCGCTGCCGGACTTACTGGTCAGCCAGGCATGCTGTAACAACAACAAACAACAAACAAGAGCAAAATCCCTCCTCGTCCACCGACCGCTGTAGGTTCTCTCTGACTCAGAGACTCCGCTCAGGCCCGGTGTCAACACCTGACCCGTGTGTGTGTGTGTGTGTGTGTGTGGAGGTCAGGTGAGGTCGGCTTTAGGGTCAGGGTCTGAAGGCACAGCCGTCCGTCCCATAGTTGATGTCAACAATAAGTCCAGTCCGTTTATATGATGATCTGGTCACAGAGGTGCTGACCTGAGCTGACCTGAGGTGACCTCAGCTGACCTGAGGTCAAGTGATTCTGGTTCCATCATCAATATCAGTTATTGATTAGATTTTCTTATCGATTCTCATTGCTTGACAAAATGAAATATAGTACAGATATACTGTTTGCATTAACTCTGATGTGCAGTAAGGCAGGCGTGCCCAACCCCTGGTCCGGGGGCCAGTACCAGTCCATTGGTCATTAAGTATTAGGCTACAGTAAAAAAAAAAGTACTTCAGTTTTATTAATTAACTTCATTCTAAAAGAATCCAGTCACATAACATTGGCCAATATTAGCATAATTGTGTAACATCTGTGAGAATCGTTATTAAATTTTCCTCCGATAATGAAAACCCGATTACGCAACACCTGGGTTCTGACAGATTTGCTGGAATCGGTTCTAGGGTCCTGAAACTTTACCTCAGTTTTGGGGGCAAACAGCTGCATATATCGGTATTGGAAATTGAGTGTTTGGACAATATCGCCATATCTGCAAAAAGTTAATATCGGTGACTAACTAACTGTGATTCCTAACTAGTACTTTGCCAGTTTTGTTCATGTATCTGTTGGAAACCCGTGGACACTGACAGCTGGTACTGTTTATGGAAACACCTGGATTCAATGACAGGAACCAGACCCACATGGTTCAGGTCGGTCTGGTATCTTAGAGCGTCCACGGTGTCGTTGGTTTGACCACAGGGGGCGCTGCGTCATGTTCTCACAGCCCACAGCCTCGTCATTACTACACGCTGACTTCACCTCTTTACTCCAGCGCAGCTGCAGCCT